ATTAGTACTAATACGTTGAATTTGGAAGTTATTTACATAGTCGTGTGTCATGAATGATGCAATATTCTAAAATTTTGGCTAAAATTTCTTCTATCTTAAAAAAGGATTTTCAAGTTGTACTGCTGTTGATAATATAGAAAAGTTGGACATTTTTTATCTAATGGTGAGTGGTTGGTACTATAATTTTTGTTATATCTATAGTTTGAAAATTTGCAATTACAACATACAACCGGTTCATGCTTACAACAGTCAGTATCGTGTACATCCTCTTTGCTGCAGTTGGTACAGGTCTTGTTATTGCGGCATTTTTTCTCGGTGTGATTGAAGCGAAGACACTTCTTGCATTGCGTTATTTCGTTATTATCATACACTGGTAAACATTGCCATCCAAGAAGAATTTTTCCATTGTTATCTTCAAATATTGTCCTGAATAATTTGCCAGAAATGTCTGCAAATAATGTGTAACATTTTTTCGATGGGAGATACTTTACATATTTGATTTTGATGTCATCTTTTTCAATAAAATGATTTTGTTGGATAAGATCTAATTCTATGTCTTCTTCATGTGGTTTCTCCGTGCATCTATAATTGACAATTTTGATCTTCGGTCTAAACATTGTAGGTTCTGTGATTTTGTATTCATCTCCTAATTTCTTTTCGAATTGAGTTTTGAGTGTGTTGTGGTGTTCCTCAGCCAGTTTAATTATAATTCCTCCATTTTTAGAATTTCGTATATTTTCTATTTGTATTTTCAAATCCGTAAGGCTAATTTTTTTGTTAAGGTCTTTTCTCGTTTGTTCAGATGTTTGGATACCATTTGGTGTGACAATTATGTTCTTCATTGGGTCTTTCTTGATTGTTGGAGTATCTCGCTTTAGTACTTGGGCATATGATTTCTCTTTAATTTTCTCAATTTCAGTCAATCTTTGATTTATTTTATTTATCATTGTTTCAACGGTACCTTTTTCGTGTATGGCTGATGTCGCTAAATTGTACTGTTCTTGTAGTCTTCCATTTTCATTGCTCAACTGTAGTATTAGTTTATCCTTTTCTTCTAATATCTGTTTTAAGTGTTTATTTTCTTCTAGAATCTTCTGAGTGTCCAAGTTTCCATCAATGTAAACTTCCATTGTATCTGATTTTTCCGTTGAGATCTGGTTTTTAACTTTTTTCTTCGGCATCATGCATATATATCAACTCAGCAGCAGCAACACTCAGTATAGCGTGAAGCCACAGTTGAATATCGTTGACGTTGATGTTGACCATCTTTGTATAACTCAATGATCTTAGTTTTCACATCGAAAGAAATTTCTGGACCACGCGGCATGGTCTTAAAATGACTCAACTTATTCACAATACTTGATGAACACAAACTAATCCTCTTCTGACATGAAACTGTACTAAACTAATGTTGAAAAGAATTTGTCTACATATTTTTGTCCCTTATATAAAAGCGCTTATATCTTGTATCGTGTTCATTGCAGATAATGTAAAAACAAGGAATTTAGTTTTTCTACTAATAACGCATTTGCTTATGGAGCAATGAAGTATGAATTCGTTTTCTAAAGGTATTTAGGTAAATATTCATGTTTGTCTATATACTTTGGTCCTGTATATATTGCAATTTATTGATATTCACTTAAAAGTTTGGCTTAAGATGTACAGTGTTAATGCCTTAGGTTTAACAGGACAATACTCTAATATAGATCATAGGTACATTGTCGAACTGCCAGCATTTTATAGAATTTACATTATTACATGAAACTCATTTTTTATAACAAAATATATAATTATACTTTTATTTAAGACGTCTTATTGAAAAAGGTAAAAGCTGCTATTCTACTTCTACAAGAACCATTATAAGAAATCTGATATAAAGTAAACTAATTAGCTAGCATTGATGATTGAGGTATTGCAGTGTTTTTCTAATAATTTTCTGGATTACTTGTATAAGGAGCAATTTGCAGGAAATCTACTCTTGAAATCCCCTATGCTTGTCTGGCCAAATCAAAACCACATATATGTTTAAATCTTATCTTGATTATTATTAAAAGTCAAAAACAATAACTTCCACATAGCTAAGATTTTCATTTTCTTGACAAAAAAATAAAAATAAACTATGTAGGTGGAATACTGATATCTGTGAATTGTGTACATATTTACATGTTTGTAATTGTCCAACCTTCTTTCATGCAAATTATACAAATGATGTGAAGGATACATGCAAGCATTACGATATATACTTAGTATCAATAACAACTTGTTAAATAACACAAATTGTTATCATGTACCTTTTTCAAATTTAAAGGTGATTTGCTGTAATATTACTCCAACTCAGCATGGCTTTGAGATAACAGCTATCAGCGCTTAATTCATTAGCCAAAAACGAAAGGCTCAAAGTACTGAGATAAATATGGCCCCAAAATGTTTGGGTTTGTCAGGTTATAAAGAAGGCTGTGAGATATTTACCGATGAAAGTCAGTCTGCGAATGTCTTTGCTGAAAACATATGAATTCCATAACAAATTTTCCTCGCAGTGTAGAGGCTCGTGAGCCTGTAGTTGACAGCAGCCAAAGCCAGGTGGTCATAGGAAAAACAACGGGGCCGCTCTAGTTCGACCGATTCATTTTTTTCATTCGCCACTTCACTCGCGTACCCCGAATTCTCGAAAGTACCGAAATAGAGACGCCGATTTAAACAAAAACAAAGTGTGCCAGTGCGATTTTCATTATTTTGTTGAACTGTCAGCTACGCGACGACCGACTGCCATGTTTTTCTGCACAACACAGCAACGTTGCCTAATCATCGAATCAGTTTTTCCTAGACTTGCAATTTACCGTTCTTATCATGGTGTCTACGAGGGTAATATTCAATTTGTACTCGGGACGCAAAAGCACGTCTGCGACCCTGCGTTCTGCGTAGTTAAGTAGCCGTACTTGGCGAGGGAAATTCACTCGCAGGGAATGCAATCTCACACCCCTGAAAAATGATTGAAAAGCCAAGTTCACATTATTCATTCAGCCAATAACGTAAATGAAATATCGGTATAGGAGCTGTAAGCTGATATGATTGCAAAATACCCTCTATAATAATTGCTTAGAAGTGATATTTTTGGAGAGCATTAGCTGAAAAATGCACTCTTCTTTAATATCAATAGAATTAACCATTTTGGAGAAAAACAAGGACTTTCAATTCTAACGTCGGGTTGACATCATATTTACCCGACCGTTAATTTGATCGTATTAAAAAAGCAGAAATACCAGTGTATATCCATAGTTTCCTACTCGTAGATAGGTGCAGTAGATACTGCGAGCAAGATATATGGAGAAAAGTGACGGAAGTGACATTTCACTCCATAGCAGAATATCAATTATTCCTTTTGATAATATCTTGATGTTTCATTAGTTCATCATCTTTGAACAATTGATACTGAAACTGGTCTAAAACCTTTGGAGATGAGAATATAATCACTGATTCACGTAATCTACCTGAATTCAGATAGTCAACAACATACTGTATTTCGGCGCCACAAAAAGGTATCTGAATGTCCGTAGCGCCATCTGTGAGACAGTAGCAGAACACAAACATTAAATTATAAATATGCTTGGAAAACAGTTACAATGTTTGGTTGCACTACTGTCTCATAGATGATGCTAGGATCTAAATCAGCTTTTTAGCGCCTCTTTAATGGCTATATTAGTAATGTGGAATACGTTAGTCAATGCCCGAAGATGACCAATTAATAATAGGAATCAGAGAAGCACCGAAAATGGATCTAAGATCTTAGCACCAATTGTGAGACAGCAGCAGATCCAAACACTCAAACTCTTGGATCTCTAAATTCATTTTTGTGTTCTGCTACTGTTTCCTAGATGATGCTAGGGTCTTTCATATCCATCTTTTGGAACAATTTTACCAAAACCTATTTTCTATAAACTCATGCTGGTCTTTGTCATATAATAGATACAAAATTATTAATCTGACTACGTCGCAACCACCTCCTGATTAGTTCCAACATTGTTGTCAGATCAATTTGTAATATATTATTACCGAAGAGGTTTTTCATCACTTTTCCTTTTGATGATGTAGGATTTTTTTGATAATATGTACCTGAACCATACCTGTACGCATTTAGGAACTTCTACATGTTGATTTAGCTCGCATATAATATATAAGTTTATGATAAAGAAGCTATTATTAGCTATGAATATTCACGTTTCAGGCCAAATAAAGTTTGAAATTTTCTGGGATAATACGAATTTTCTGAGGAGACGGCAATAGTGCCTTTCTGGTAGAGAACCAGTCATGCAGGATTTGGATTTGTATGTTGCATAATGTGTTTTTGGCACTCTAGATAGGAAGATAATAAATTAAAACGAAGTAGAACTGATTGATATAGACCATAGAAGGGTTTATCTCTGATATAGACAGAGAAAATAAAAAAGAATGGTAAGTAGAGAGCAATTATAATTTTGAAGGTAAAACACCATAGAATCAAAGCGGTTGAGTCTTTATGAAACAGATGGCAGCATCTTTGAATTGAGTATAAAGTTAGTTTCACACTAAAATTTGATTTTAGTAGGCGATAGCGGGTAATTGGAAAGACACCCACGGTTTCGCTAGCCTCAGCGTGGCCAGCTCACCTTTTTGAACGATGTGACATGTTTTTCAATCGATTTAATCGATTAAAAATAATATCTTTCTTGGATGATCCAGCTTCAGTGTAAACTTGGCTTCACGACTACAGAACACGAACTTTAGAAGATATCATATGTTACAACTTGCTGCCGGTAGATGTCTGTCGTGGTATGATACATAAATATTTGAATTTAAAATTTAATCACTTAAAGCGAGTATCTATACATAAAAAGCAACCTGCTTTAGTGTATATTTAATGAAATCTATCATTTTCTGGCTGATGACAATTTAAATCTTTGGGACACAAAATGCTGACGGTCTCTTTCAGTACCCTTTCACTGTATTCTACCGACTTCTTGTTCCATGTCAAAATCAAACCCTTTTTAAAAAGTATCCGGTAAAATTTCAATAACAACAAACCGATGTGATATAAAGGGTTTTAATATTCCTTTATCGTGTGGGTGTTGAAATGTGATCTAAAAATAGTGATTCGTTTTCGGTGGGCTCAAAATAAATGTTAGTGATGTTAACGGCGATTTAACTACATCACAAAATTGTTTGTAAACATGTCCTTGAGCATCAAAAGCGGGAAAAATGAAAGCAAAAGAATCGTTACGTCTCGAAATGTTACCATTGTGAAGCATTTCAATCCAAATGTATGGCACAGCAATTATTGCGAACTACCCGAAGTTGACAATGCAGAGGAAATTGAAAATAGAACAGTGGTACGTAGAAAATTTGTTAAAAAGAAGCCTTTCAAAAATAAGAATAGCGAGGTGAAGGATGAGACCAAAAGCATTGGAGGAAATGAGATGAAAAACGGCGAAAAAGGAATAAAAGTGATAGTTTCTCCAAAACCAAGAGAACTGCCAAAAAGACGCCAGTGCGCTAAAAACACTCCCTCAAAATCATCTTTAACTAGTTCCTCTTCAAATAAAGAACCTCCAGTAACAGAAAAACCAAAGCAACCGTTTCAAAAATCGAAATCTTTCTGTGCGACTAGGAAAAATACTATCCATAGCTCCCTTACCAAAAAAGTCAACAATCTAATCTCATTATCCGGCTCATTGTTGCCCGAGAGGGATGTCGACGCTCTAAAGCAAGAAATTTTAACCAACAGATCAGATAACTCAGCATTGCCGTATGCAGAAAAGCTTAGTGAACGTCAGCAAAGGGTAGATTCATTGAGAAAAGAAATAGGCAAGTTCATCGAAGTGAATCTATCGGAGAAAACGAAAGACGTTGCCGCGTTGAAATCGGAAATTGGTACTTTTCGGGCGAACAGAAACTTTCAAGTGTACCATGTGCGTGAAGTGAGCAAGTGTCCTGATGAGGCGTCTGAGAACAAAGTGGAAGTGCAAGTGGATGGAGATACTAGGGCAGAGGAGGAAACTGCAGATAAACCATCAGGTGAGTAGTATTTCTAATCCTATACAAGATCGGCGTAGAATCGTTGAGAGCCCACATTTAACGTGTATGAGATAGATGGAGAAAGGAACACGTAGGATGAATATGCCAGTGGTCGGACAGTAGACAAAAATGGAACATAAAGCGTAATTACGAATTTTGTGTCCAAGATAACAAAACTAATGTTTTTGGAAGTGATAATATATGTTGTTAACTTTTCGCCGACAACAAATACATTGCTTATAGATATTCCTGTAATTTTATAAAAACATATTAATCAAAAAGGTGCGATTTTGTCAGTACTCGGACAGAAGGTGCCACTAATTGGACTTCTAGCTTCCAATTGTCGGACAGCATTTGACTGGCAAGTTTTAGACAGAACAGTATTTAAAAATTCGTGGATAGTAGAATAGAAATTTCAAATCAGTTGTCATTAAGAATTTGAGGAATAGGAATTAAACACACTCATACTGAATCTATTTAATATATACATTTTACTAAAAATATACAGGGTGACTTCGAAGTTGAGTCATGTATTTTAACAGTGAGTAGATCTGATCAAAAGAAATGTTTTTTTCCTTTACCATTTTCCTGGTAAAATTAAAGTAACAAAGTTATAGCCCTTTGGAAGTTTGAGTACCGCCCTGTCTCAATAATAATATTATGTGGTCGTGTTTGGCGACAACGGATATAATCCGCCATATCGGTTCATCGCATCGGAAACAAAAAGCGAAAGAATTTGGAACGATGCTTTTTACAATTATTTCATTCATTTGTATACAGTCAGTGTCAGTGAATAGTGGTATCTGTCGCGTGGCTCAAACGAAATAAAAAATGGCACATGTTTATGCGGATCGGTTTCCCAATCGAGTGCAACCAACCCCTCGTGCCTTTGTTAATGTAGTACAACGGGCTCGTGAATCAGGTGACTTAAGACCTCACAGGGGACCTCACGATCAAATACAGGTCCGCACTGAAATACTTGTCGGGAGGATACTTTATAAAACAAGGTAAACATTTTTTTTATTTTTTTTTATTTTTACACACATATTTTGGTTTATCTTCCTTCTACAATCATTATCTGAAAATTAATGACTCAACTTCAAAGTCACCCTGTATATACAAACTACATAAAAAGGAACAAGAAACTATTTTTTTCTTTTAAGCCGGTCCTGCACTACCGACATTGAACTACCGTACTATTTACATGTTTCAAGCAATTTCCCAACATTTTTCACAGCTTTGACTGTCTCCTGTAAACTGCCTTCACTATATATTCGGGATTTATTTTTTTCTTGATATCCATTCCCAATGATGTGGAAATATGAAATTTTATTTAGCAGTCTCGCGAAATAAATGACTGGAAAATGCAAGTGGCCGGTTATTGGGATGCTATGAAAATTCGTTCATTCCAGTGGTCAGACACAATATCACTGGCCACAATCTACATTATTTAATATATTTCGCTGTTCGTCCACAGGCTGGGGCTTCAGTCGTATTTTGGTTTGCTTGATTCAACAGAAAAGATAGATTGATAACAACCACGCCATTCCAGTATTCGGATAAGTCCAGTATCCGACAGCAACGACGAGTCTGTGACGACTGCTTATTCTTTTGTCACGTGTCTCGCTCACATAACGTGTTTTTGTCTCCATCTCTGTCGTCCACATTAAATGAGGGACTTCAATGATTCTCTGTCGATCCTGTATAGTACAAACCAACAAAAAAAAAAACGGGCACGTTAAAAAATTGTGGAATCCTATACAGGGTGTTTCCTAATTGAATCACAGTATTTAAGAGGAGGATTTTTGGGTCCATTTTAGGAAGAAAACGTGTATTTTAAAGCTATAGTTTCTAGAAAATTATTGAGAAACACCTGACGGCATAGTTCAAGGGCATTGTGAGTGGACTGTTTAGACTGCGCATCTGTTAAATCATATTACTTTGCTTTATGTCGTATGTAACTAGTTTTTTGCTCCACTTTGTTTATTTAATTTTAATTTCCACTTTGTCTACTTACTTTTCCATTTCTTATTTTTTGTTCATGTATCGAGTTTATCTTCGTAACTTTTTCTCACACAGTAAATTCAAGTGTAACATTAGCCCTTTGGTTAAACTTCCACATTTATTATTAACATATTTGCAATCTGTTTCCACATTTTCGGTGGCTAGAACATGAAATGGTTGATAAGCAACTGTTAGCAAAGCTTTCAGGCGCTGTTAATATGACAAAGACGTTAGGATAGAAAAAATTTCAAGCAATCCTTAGTTGGATTAGTGACGATAATTACAGAAAGTTAGTATGACGCAAATAAAGTATATTTTTTAGGTAGTACATCGACTGCTCCAGTTGAAACTTCCGAGACAGATGATAGGTGAGTCAGATTTTATATTATATTAGCACATCCTGCGTTTTTTCTGTGCGTTAAGGGTGCAAAATTTGTTTTAATTCAAAGTCATAATTCAGCGTTATATTTTTGATTATTTTGTATAGTTTACAAAATATTCACAAACTTGTTTTACTTATAATTAGGGAGCTACACTCCAGGAAAAAGGTAAGTACGTGCTTATATATTCTGGTAAGTATAACAACTGTGCTTGGAAGTATGACGTAGAATTATTAGCACTGATGAGATGTTATGTTCTTGGATAGCTTTTAGCAGACTTTGCACTGCACTACTAAGGCCTGCAAAAAACAAGCTGAGTTACTTCATTGTTGTTTTGAAATCGAGTAGATAATGTTTTCCCGTGCACGCGTTCTCAACGAAGGAACCAATCGTCGTCTATATTAAGTTTGTATATTTTTTAACTAGACTTCCCTAAGATTTTGTTCTCGTCTAGTAATAGGTAGCTATATCGACTACACTGTTTCTGGTTTTGTGGTTTAGACACTGGCGAAGCAATGAAAACAGAACTATAATAGATTTGCTTTATATAGTTTGATATACAGACTTATCCAACGAAGGCGTAGGAAGTATAGAGTCGGTCTACTCAACGCCATTTTTTTTTGCTTACATTAGCCCGAAAAACATTTTTATTGTCCATAAGGGCAGATTGCTCTTAGGAGTTATCATATAAAAATAGTAACAACAAAATGTGAGTACCTGCTGAAATTTCTATTATTTGTGTTTATTCCCTAGTAAGTGCAGCGGGTATTTCTGTACCATGGTATTACCTCCGTCCATAATATTGTTTGCCTGCAGTCAACAAGGTCTGGAGGTATCTTGTTAAACAAATTATATTGTGCCTTTGTGGCGCCAATTCGTACCTGTCGATCGCTTCACCACTACAAATGAAAGAACGCTCTGACGGAATCCAGAGATAAGTAAAACAACTCTTTTGATGGGCTTCGATGCTATCGGTGGCGAGGAAGAAACCGCCCGTTGGAAAACCGCACTGGTATTACATATCTTGGAAAGTGACATTATTTCATGTTATGTTTTTTGACATATTGGTTTTTTTGACATTATGTAGGTTTTTCTACAAGATGTTAACTTAGCACTAGCTGATGGGCATGTTGTGAACTCGTTTTGTAGTTGTAGGTATTGCCTAAAGGTCATGAGGTTTCAGTCATCTATTTTTGGCTCTGATGTGATGTACAATCTGCTTCCGAGAAGGCATTACTGGAGGTAAAGGCAATGCATAGGTGCATAGTGAGGATTTGTGTGCTAATATGTGTTGATAATAATTCCATTGGATTCTTGTCTCAGATACACTTATTTGAGATTAAAAGCTAGAGATTAGTTGCGCATCCACTTTTTCTTATCCATTCAGGAAATTACATATGCAAATTTGCTGAATTTAAAAAATGAGGGAGATAAGAAATAATTAAATTCACTGTATACTGTCGATTTACAAGTCATATACATGCTATCAGTGATTAGTCACAACGCGGGCACGGTGGTGATTTCCCGTAATCATCCTTAACGTTTTGGAAAACACGAAAAACGTAATTTATAACTTTGAACATAACCTGTCTTCAAAAAGGACAACATATAAATCACCCATCGGGCACAGCTAATAGATATGATATCACTGATCTTATACACATGCAGACCAATACACACAATCTTCCATATGCGATCTTGCTATTCAACCAACTTTCTTCTCTGAGATGAAAACTATAGACTACTCGGCTTCACAAAACATATGCAACCAACAATGCGTGTAGTTGAGCTATTGCTCCTTAGATGGACGCTCACAACGATCCTAGTGAGTAAACGTGGAATGACTGTTTGCACCCTAAAAACTAACTAGTCTGCAAGATGACATTTTATAGGCTTTTTTTTACGTTTTATAGGTTTTTTTACATAATACCTGTGCCGACCTTGAGAATCAACTTGTTCATTGGCATTATTGACAACCCGGCAAAAATCTTACCAGCGGGTGAACCGTCTGATAGGCGAAATGGCAACTCCAAGGTCATCTTCTCCAGGCACAATCAAGGAAGCTCCAATAGCGGCATTGAGTCACGTGATGCTTGCCCGGATAATTTATCTTTATCTAAATATAAAAATATCAAATGTGGAAACATCTAAATTCTGAATCTGATGCTTTCAGATATATTTCGTTAAAAATGAGTATAAAATATTGGAGCAACACTATCAGTAGCTGTGATAGTATACGTGAGATGTATTGTGACTGTTGTGGGAGATGTAGAAGTTCAGGAGACTCTGTGATAAAGCGCTACAGATAGGTTTTGGAATTAACATATCTACGTAATCTAGTTGATAGATTATTTAACACTACATGGAATAGTCATTTCTGGAATGAGCCTTTTTGTAATCCTTGTAGTTGGCACCATTATATAAAGTACCTAAGTTTTTTCGTATTGAAATCCATATTATTTAAATAGCCCATGCATGGTAGTATCAGCAGAGTACAGCATGAAGTCGTAAGTTTTATAAAGAAAAATACTGCCCATCTAGGCCACCAAATACGTTTTCTGTATCATTTCAGAATGACATGAATTTGGGATAAATCTACCTAAATTTTCATGTAGCACAATTTTTATACCATTATCAAAAAAAAGATATATATTTAGAGCATGTGATTTTTAGTTGAAAGTAAATGTATTATGTGCATCATAATTAGTACATGATAGATTTTATTATTCTGAAACTTGTGCCCAGCAAAACTGCTGAAAGAGATATTACCCTTATTGGGGATATTTTATAAATATCCGTTCATGAAATAGTCCTTCAATATCGGAAATATCATTTAAAGCAGATTTCAAATTATGAACAACGGAAATCTCCGGCACATTCCTGGTATTCCTTATTCCAGATGCACACTCGGTATTCCCTCAATAGTTTCACCAGATCTCCATACAAGTAGGCGACGCTACCATCTGACAAACGTCAACGGTGTTGCCATCGTTTGACATGCACTTATACATTCTTGTGTCTTGTGAATCTTACTGAGCGTTCTTGAGTACGCCACTGACTGAAACCGGATACGACAAACGGATATCGAAAACCGCGTGGACAATACACGAGCGTCGAACGAGCGGTCACGTAAAAACCGAGGCGGGAGACGTTCGCCGTTGTACGCAGGTCGCACAACACCCAGATCGGTTTTCTATACGGCAAGCTGCATACAGTATGCCGAACTGTCGACGGACGGGCGGTGCAAACGTTACCCGTTCTTATTATTTGGAGCAGTTTTGGACGATGGATAGGCTGGATGTGGATTTGCTGATAGCGTTGGTTGAAAAAAGGCCGGTCATATGGGATAAAACACTGGAAAATTATAAGAACAAGAGGGTACGTGAAGCCGCGTGGCGGGAGATTTGTGCTGCCATGAAACACGGTTTCGAAGAGATGGATAAATACCCAAGAGGAGAGTTTTGTAAGTTTCACATTTTTAACATATATGTAGATTGAGTTGCAGACTGGTGTACTCCACTACTTATTTTTTGAGCGGGTCAAGTTAACAAACTGAAATTCGGGATAATGAAATTGACGCATATATGCAATATTTTAACGTTACAATAACAGCCAAAAGTTTCAATATGGTAGGCGCTATATACGAGTAGTAACATTTTTTTAAATAGAATGAATGGTCATGTGACCTTATTTTGAAGGTCCTTATAAACCTAGAATATGAAGTCATTATCTTTCAAAATGGACGACTGGGACGCTATCAAAGCGTTATTGTACATTGAATCGCTTATAACTCAAAAACTAATAAAATCAAAACGTTATGTTATGTACATTGATCTTGTTTTAGAAATGTATATTTGAATGTGCAATAAAATATGAGACATTCCGGCATCCAGTGAAAAAAATGAGATATTTTGACACTTTTTGTTAAGGAATGCTTCATATTCAACTGCATACGTGGTTTGTTCAAAAAGTATCGCAAATTTTGAATTTTCGCGGGCTACGTATGTTCGATTGTGGATATTTTTGTTATGTTGGTACTCATGACTCTTACTAATTTTGACAATATCGGCCGTTTTGAATGTTTAGTCAGTTTTTGACAGGTATTGTGCGTGGACGTGTTTTATCTTGTCTCCGATTTTTGTCTATTCCAAAAAATGTATCAAAGAATTTGTATTAAATTTTGTGTAAAAGACAACTTGAAGTGCGCGGACATATTCCAAATGTTGACTGTTGCATACGGCAAAGCTAATTTGGACAAAAGCAACGTTTATCGGTGGCACAAAATTTGCGAGAAGCAATCCGCCAGAAACGCCCGGATTTGTGGAAGAGTAAAAATTGGCTTTCGCACCATGATAACGCCCCTGCTCATGCATCGTTACTTGTGCGAGAATTTTTGGCCAAAAACAACACTCCAATAATGCCTCACCCACTGTATTCCTCAGACCTGGCCCCCTGTGACTTTTTCTTGTTTCCGAAACTGAAGCCCATGAAAGGACGACGCTACACCACGATTGAGGAGAAAAAGACGGCATCTAAGGAGGAGCTGAACAACAAAAAATGATTTTACAAAATGCTTCGAGGACTGGACAAAAACGTAATCACAAGTGTATAATGTCTGATGAGGATTACTTTGAAGGGGACAAAATAGATATTCATGAATAAATAAATAATTCTTGACAAAACATGAAATTTGCGATACTTTTTGAACAAACCTCGTATACAGAACTGTTGCCGCAACACACCGGGTAATTGATATGCACTCTACGATAAAAATATCACAGCTTTGGGTGGATTTTTGCCTTTTGGTGTTTTTGGGACGATGGACGGGGGTGACTTATCAAGTATATTCAAAACGACAGCCAGCCTCATACTCGCTTGTCATTTTGGATAGCTGGGCGTTCTTTTTTAAGATGGAGAATGCCTACCCCAGGCGGTCCTGGGCTATGGCTGGCTTTGCGTGGTGCCATCTTAAAATTCGGAATGATGACTGTTGTAGTGACACACTGTATAGGAATGTGATAACGAAAATAAAAAACAAACGAGCTGTCACCTGGAAGACAGACAAATATTGTCACTGTGCTGAAGAAGATCACCTTCGGGACTGAGACGTTTTTCTATTCGTCATTGCCCGTCATACCGGTCCTAGGTTGAAGTTAATCAAGAGCATAGAAATAGGCCAAATAATAATGATAATAGTAAGCCTGGATACTTGATATGCGATCGGTTTTTTTTTTGTCCTACCAATCCCCAACTTGCAAGGTGTTTCATGGATCATCGGAACGATCTATGCAACTTCATAAAAAACATATCTACAGAAATGTAATAATGGTTTTTCGTCACCCATTCACAGGGTAGTCAGAAGAAGTACTTTTTTGAAGCCCTTTTCTCGAATCTTAATACAGTAAAACCCCGATTATTCGAATCGCGATTATTCGAAATCCGCTTTATACGAAACAGATCGCATACAATAATTTCTCCGTTTTACCGAAGTTGTTAGGGAAATCTGTGCATGATCCGAAATAGCCGCCGTTTGTTCCCCTATCGTTTGCGTCATTACATTCGCTGCCGGTGATTCGCTAAGCGCGTTTGCGGAATTCACTGGTATCTGTGCGTGTATGTTTGTTTCAGTCAGGTTCATAATCGCTATGATGGAGCAGCATGGAAATAAACGTAAACGCGTTGTTATTACCATAGAACAAAACTTGAGTCAATCAGACGTTTAGATAGAGCTGATTTGCTTAAGAACGTGGCAAGTGATTTGGGTGTGAGCGTGGTTTACACACAATCGAGAACGTGGTATGCCAATTTCCGGACCAATTCGAAAGCAAAAGGCAGTCAACTTAAGTGAAGAGTTGCCAGTTATTGAGGCGCCTGATAACTTTATAGCCAGTGAGGGTTGGCTGCATAGATGGAAAAATACACGGTATACTAGAATTAAAAGTTTGCGGAGAACAGTTGTCTTCCGATAAGTCCGCTGCACTAAAATTTGGAGAACATTTTAAAAAATTAAAGAAGCAGTATGGTTTAAATCCAGAACAAATTTACAACTGCGATGAAACGGGCCTAAACTATAAAATGTTACCGGCGAAAAGTTTAGCTTCAAAACAAGAATCTGGAGCTCCTGGTTACAAACGCAGTAAAGAACGTGTGACTATCCTTGCTTGTAGCAATGCTGCCGGTACAGACAAACTTCCTTTGTTGTTAATCGGAAAATCAGCTAAACCAAGAGCATTTAAACACGTCCGTCCCAACGCTCTTCCAGCCTGGTATAAAAATAAAAAAATGCCTGGATTGATGCCGCTCTATCTAAGGACTGGTATTACAATCATTTTGCTCCCAAGACAGAACGATATTTGAATGAACCCGAATATCCAAGAAAATGTATTTTGCTATTAGACAATGCTCTGAGCCACCTAACCTAAGTGAGGAGCAACTTGAAAGTGGAGAAATACTAGTGATGTTTTAGAAAATTCAAAACGCAGTTACAGACGTTTGTTATTAGAGCAAATTTTAGATCAAGGTGATAATGGTTGTAATCTCGTTGATTCATTAAAAGAGATTAACCTCAAGAATGTCGCATATTGGATAACAGAAGCATGGAACCAAGTAAAAAATTCTACTTTACAAAAATCTTGGTCGACAATAATTATGCAAGAAATGCACAGACTATGAGAATAACAACGAAAATTTACATAAGCTCGTCGAAAAAATAGCAGGGTGTGAAAATTTTTACCCAAGCTGATGTTGATGAGTGGATTAATGGTGATGAATTGGTGGTAGAGTTAACTGATACAGAACTAATAAAAACTGTTTGAAACAATGGCGATGAGACAGTTTTAAGTGAGCTAGTGACAATGAGCCAGAAATCTCTGCCAAAATATCACATCCTGAGGGATTAGAAGCTCTACAAAAGGCGTTGACTTACGTCGAACAACAAGAAAATGCGACAGCAGCTGATGTGCTACTTATCAAACGTTGGAGGGATATTGCTGCCAAAAATAGGAACAATGCAAAACCTGTATAGTTAAAAATTACTTCCTTTGTTACTAAATACTCGTAAATATGTTTGTATGTTTGTATCCACATGTTTATATTTTACGTAACTTAATATAGGTATATATTCACTTAACACACGCATTTATTTTTTTCAATAAAAGCAGTATGAGTCTAAATATTTATTTCCGTTTTATCCTAAATTTCGATTATCCGAAAGCACTTGGGTCCACATTATTTCGGAAAATCGGGGTTCTGCTGTATTTTATTTTAACCCTTGCCTACTTATTGCCACCACAGTATGTTAGACATTTGTGGAAACATACTGTATACATTCTATAAGCATAATTATTTTTCCAGATAGAGCAGTTGTAAGAAAGTGGACACAGATTCGAGACAGCTGGTCTAAAGATGTCAAAAAAAGGAGAGAGTTGAAAATGTTAGGAGATCCTGGGTACTCTAAAGCTTACAAATTCCATAAACAGCTCTCATTCCTGAAAAAAATTATTGATACATCGGACATCGACGGGGAAAATGAAGAAAGCAGAGAACATAATCAAATCTCTGAAGAAAAAGTGATAGAGCATGAAAAGGGGAATGAACATGCAATAAGTCCTATGATAGAAAACGTTAAAAAGGATGACAAAGATATGATGAAAGAAAGAAGTACAGCGACACCCAGCAAAGGAAGTGTGCATGGACGTAGTTTGAAGAGAAAAAGGATCGAAGTCTATGATAAAATGCTCCAGTATCTTGACAGAGAAGAGAAAAATGAAAATCCACAGCTGCATTTTTTCAAAAGCCTTTTGCCAATCATTTCAACCTTCGATATAGATGAAACGCTTGAATTTCAGTATGGAGTAATCAGTTTGGTACAAAGCATCAAAAGACAGAGACAACCGGATGTTTACCAAAATTCAGCATCTGCAACAAATTATAACAGTACAGGCTACTGTAGGAATTCGTTGGACAATTCTCCACCACCAACAGTATCAGCATCTATTGTAAAATCTCCAGGGTCTAGCTTAGAGTTTGAAGAAGAAACTTTAGAGTTTTCTGACCTGTGATATACACTTTTTCCTACGACGAGTTCTATATTGCAAAATATTAAATATTAGGTTCATAGTACACAGGTAGTTGTTTATTGCACCTTCTGAACAATTTATTTGATTCCCTTGGCTTATTTGTGTTTTGCATTTTTTCTGGGATTTTTTTTAGAGAATGCTGGAGAGCGTCGAAGTAAAAAAGGCGGCGACGCTGGCCAATGTTCGGTTGATTGTAAATGACGGTCGCTATCATACTTAGATACTGTTTTTTGTATCGTATTTAACCTTGTAGTACAATTAAATTCTAGTTGTGGGATCATTTGTCATCATCAAAGTTTAGTGGAATTTTCTTATGCGTACGTGTTTTCACTGTTTTCTCAGCAGAGACCACGTGGCGTCGTCCGTTTTCTTACTCCTTACAGCTCTACCCTGTGGTACTCACCGATATTTAGGCTCTAGGGTAGTTTACATGGAACAAAGTATTCAAAGGTGGCTTTTCTACACTCTGTTTACTTACTTTCATCACCACCAACATTAATATATGTCAGATGACGAATGTGGAAGTACAAGTACAGGTGCCATACACAGAACATTCTGTTTAGAACCAAAGGCCAGTGTAAAACAATCAACCTAGTGACGCCAACTCTTGTAAGGTGCATGTAATTATATAGGGTGAAAAATTATAAAAATTGTATTTTGTGATTTGAAGAGAACAGGCTATTAATAAAATACAAACACAATTCAGTCACTTTTCAATAAGTACCTGATCTGCAGAAAAATCTTTAACGAACATAATCTTGGATTCAGAGTTGCCAAATGATAAGTTTGTGGCTGCTTGTCTCGCTGCTAGCCATCATTTGATTGTGTTGAATGGTGTTATTGGACTTAGGCCCAATTTCACCAACAACAGTCCGTTATTCTCCACCTATAGGGTAACAGACCATCAGATACAGCGAATGAGCTTCAAGTTCCAATCAACAAATTTTAGCAACCAATAGCTATGAAATGTTGAAAACATAATACTGTCAAAGTATGAGATGACAACTTGTCATTGAAACATCACCAGCTTATTGAATATTAAGAAATTACATATAATTCAGTCTACATTTTAAGAAATGTTTAATTACTATTGTTGATTTTTTATTCATGTTTATATTATTTTCTTCAATTGATATGTGATACTGGGTGTTTTTCCACATAAACCTCTTGCAGATAGCCATTAAGCACCTACTTGATGACAGGCTCTACCAAAAGATATTGCTCGTTTCCAAACATTCATTCATTTACTTGCCGTTCATCAGAACCATTATGGCACCTTAGATTGATATTCCCACAAAACCATTCAGGTTGTTTGATATCCATACATCCATAAAGTTGAATATTTTTCGTTGTTCAGGAACTGAACAAACATCCACACTATATTCACAGCGATTAATAAATTCCCAAATATACGCCTTAAAGCTACAATCAAACCTAAGACCTGTATAAAAAACTACAAATTTGCCATATTTTTCTTTTTTCACGAGTACACATTCTAACTTATATTTATATTAGAAATTATTTGAATACAGCTGATTATTGCATTTCAAGGAGTGACACATGTGTGGGATCTGTCAACTCTTGGTACCAGTCACAAAACATATTATACTCTGAAGGTTTAATTCCATGCTATTCAATGACAACACGGTGACTTGTGTGGTTATCAGCGGCCATTTTGTGAGGGTGCGACAGGGTTGCTAGATTGTGCATTAATATCCCGTTTCACCCTCCTGATCCCAGTGGAGTAAGTTCCGCCAACTGTTGAAATATACTCTTTATAAGACTATTCGTGACATTTTTCCCAAAATCATTGCACAACAAATGAAATGAAAATTTAAAATTATTTCCTTGACGCCGCAATATAGCTCCGTCGGTACCTTGGGTTATACATCTTGACAGTAGGGATGTTCGATACGATCCTATATTTAGCAGTATCAATACATTTCACGAGTATCGTCATCTTTCGATCCGGACTGTGTCAGAAAGAGTGACTGCCATTTGGCTGTGACATTACCCTGCCAAATCAGACATATCTTTCATCATTTTCAAAGAAATTGTACAAAATCTTCAAATTTGTGAAGTTAGCGAGTTTCACTTCATACGTCGTTACCAGACATGCCCAAATCATCAGTTGCTGCCGTGATATTCATCCCGACCACTGCATCCCCACGGCTAGGCGACCTGTATGTTAAATTTGTATTGATAGGGCAGCGGGTTATGCTATAAATCATATGTCACAGTGTTTGTGCACTGATTGCAACGGTTAGATGATACCAAAAATATTTTCATAAATAGGAGATCTTTCCCATTCCGAATCGAACAATCTACCAAAGATGCTTATAATCATTATACCTAGTAAATTTTCACGAAAAACATTCAAAACCAGCAAATGTAAAAGATTCATTTCGCACCATCCACCACGGGACGTGATCATCGTTAGACTTGGCAACCCAGCGAGTGTCAGATAGATATCCCCCCCAGTCAAAAAAGAAAAATCGACAAACAATAATCATTACTAGTTTTATTGTTTTTTGGACTTAAAAGCCATTATCTGTTCTTCCGTCAAAATTGCATTTCGATAAGGTATTTTCCCATTGGTCCATAATATTGATGTTGGTGAAATTGGCCCTTAGCGTTGTAAAATTCTGACGATTGCATACTTTGACGAAGCAATATTTATTTAATAATAAAAAATAAATATCGCTTTTTGTTTTTTTAAATATTCAAATTACCCCTATTCAGAAGTTGAAATAACCTGAAAAGCTAATGACTCGTTCAAAGTCCGAAACTCTTTTAGAATTAAAAAAACATAAACAAAATATTGACTCTTTTGATTTTTCATACCGATTAATTTGACGTCTGAAGAACTTTTCTGGGTGTATTCTCCAGGTCGGAATCTGATGCGCAAAAACAGTCGAAAAGCTTCTTCTTTAACACGCTTTTACTAATAAGCTTTTCCTCTATGTAACATATGTGTGTAACGGAATCTTTGAGCATAATTTTCAGCAATTTCCAGAAGGGCCGACGACAATGCAATGATTTCATAACAGTTTTCCATTATCCTTATTAGGATCGCCGAGGTAGTGCATTCTCACCTTGTTCATTGCGAATGTTGCCATTAATCCTGAGTTGGGCTTCGACCATCCACAAAAAGCAAGGTTGTACTTTATACGGTATTCGGATTGAAGAACTTGATTGCTCTAAGTTAACAGGAAAAACCGCATGCAACAGTGAAGCTTCAAATGAAATGATTAGATTACGAAATGATTCGTAAGACATTTCAATCCCACATGTCCACAAAAACTCTTAATTGATAAATCGAACTAAAAAACGAAAAATAAATAATTGCTGAAATAACTAAAAACACGCACCTAACTAAAAAGTAGAGAATCATTTTTAATTACAAAAAGTTTATATTACAGAAGTGGACGGTCGAACAATCATTCATAATTATTAATGACCTCAAAATAATATTATAATGAAATTTAAGTTATTAACAGAATAAATCAATTCAAAGTAAAAAGCGTGGGGTGCATTTTACTACATTTTCATAACTCTCATCTCATATACTAAGTGACATATAAATCCGAACACCCAGTTTAAATGGTTTTATTTTAATAAAAGTTGGTGAATGTATTTATCTTACTGTAAATAACAAGTGAACAAATTTTCAGCCTTATCAGTTGGACATTCCGGTTTTTATACTGTTTTTTTTTAATTCACTAACGCTCTAAAGATGAATATTTCAGCCGCAGTAAAGAATCAACGTTGGCGGATTTTGGTTCTTGACATCCTTTACGATCGGTTACGATGCCTAGAGTACGGAGACCTGTACGATTTCGTCAACTTAGTGAGTTTGATAGGGACCGTATAGTGGGACTTCGGGAAGCTGGACTTTCTTTTCGGGCAATTGCAGTTAGAGTGCAAAGAAGTGTAGACACTGTGGTTAGGTGTTGTCAGGCATGGCTTCGAGAAGGCCGTACGCAAAGAGCAAGGGGCACTGGACGCCGCCGTAGAACAACAGACCGTGAAGATCGACGCCTAAGATTATTGGCCTTAAGGGACCGTTTCTCCACTACCAGGTCCATTGCAAATGAATGGTTTGCAGAACACGGAAGACCTATTGGCATGCGAAGTGTTTACCGACGAATGAGAAGTTTTGGCTTGTTTTCATACCGGCCACACTGGGTCCTCCCTTTAACTCGAGAACACCGACGTAATCGCCTTGAGTGGTGTAGACAACAGTCACTCTGGGATCAGGAATGGAACAGTATTGTCTTTAGTGACGAGTCTCGATTTTGTTTAGGCATGCACGATGGTCGTGCCAGGGTTAGAAGGCGACGTGGTGAAAGGAGGAATCCACAGTTTTTTGTTGAAAGACATGTTCATCACACTGTTGGAGTTATGGTTTGGGGTGCTATAGCTTATGGTTCCAGGTCACCTTTAATCTTCATCAGAGGTAACATGAACGCGCAGCGTTATATCCACGAAGTTCTAGAACCCCATCTTTTACCCTATCTTGACACCCTGGCAGATCCAACTTTCTAACAAGATAATGCCCGACCACATGTTGCAAGAGTCACAATAGACTTCTTTCAACATAATGATGTCACATTGTTACCATGGCCACCAAGATCTCCCGACTTATCCCCAATTGAGCACGTGTGGGATATGATGGGTAGGAGATTGCTCAATTTGCAACGTCCTCCTCAGACTCTAGAAGCACTTCGAGAGGAGTTGGTGGTTGCCTGGAATGAGATACCAAAGGAGGACATTGACCACCTGATCAGAAGCATGCCTAGGCGCGTTGGAGAATGCGTAGCACATCAGGGTGCATCCACACATTATTAAAGGTCAAAGGGCTTTAAAGCAGTGCAATCATTTTGAAATTTTTATCATTTACTTATTATGCTTCATTAAGTCTTATACAAAATTTTATTAAAATAAAACCATTTAAACTGGGTGTTCGGATTTGGGTGTTTCTCTGTAAAGTGGTCAACTTGTTGTCTCCTACCATAATAATGTAAAATAGGAGAGATTATTATTTATTTCATTACTATTTTCGAAACATAATGATCTAGTCCACCTGTCCTTAGTATGAATTATCTATATAAAACTAAAAACATTATTGTAATGCTCAAAAAACAGTCCTCTGGTATGTCACCAACGTGTTGCAATGGCTTTTGATTCAGGTATTGAAACAAATAAGTTTGGAAATCGACTAATTCAAGTATTAATTTAAACATAATACAGTCGGCATTATTAACAGTGCTTATTTTTTCATTTATCTATTAAAAAAAGGAAAAACAGATTAGTTTGAGTTGGTCACACACCATATAGCGATCTGTGTATATTTCAAATGATGTGGCATAAAGCCTAGAACGCAAAAATATCGTTTTATTGCGTTCAACGAAACGGGAACAGAGTGAAGTTGACGCGGTTGCTACCACAGCGGCCCTGAGGCCATCTTCTTCAGTGCTGCACACGTGTTGCTCCGAGTTACCCGCGTCAGAACCTAAAAGCCTACAGTCCTCTGGTAAGAAATATTTAAATTCCTTTCTGTGTTTTTAAGTCATATTTCACATAATGTACTTTATTCAAATAGATAATTTTCAATTGTATGCATCAAAATAAAACAAATGGATACTGTATTGTGCTACTTATCAATATAATCT